TTTTGAGGAAGGTGTATAAAAAGTCATGGAAGTAGTTTGCAGCAAGTGAAGGCAGTGATGAGACAGTTGGTCAGGGTAGTGATTGAACCAAAGACTAGGAGGGTATTGAAAGACATAGAAGCAAAATCGGAGCAGTTGAAGAGAGATAACTGGTAGATAATCAGGATATTAATGAAAATGGAGAGGGTACTGAAGGGCATGGAAGTGAACTATATAAGGTGAAGGTAGAGAAGGAGGAGAAGAGCATATTGATGGACCTGAAAATGAGTGTTGGTTTTACGAGCTTATAAAAACTGCGCCGAGAAAGATGAGTTGGCCAAATACAAGAAAGATGATTGAGGAGTTGGAGATCAAGCTAACAAGAAACTCAATTGAAAGAGAAATTCAGGTTCATGGAGAGAAGGTTCATCAAAGTAGCATAAATGGAGTTGCAGAAGGAGGCCAGAAATTGAATTTTGGTTAAAAACATATGCGTCGAGAGATTGAAGATGGAGGGGATAAAAAGTTGGTTGTACAACGGAGAGTGAAAACTATTGGATCTTTAGGTGTTATGGATGTTGCAACTACCATAACCTATGTTTATGTTAAAACGAGGAATCATTGATTGATTTACTAAAGTTAAGGTCGATACACTATTCAAACTACTGGAACCTGTAGATAAGGAGTGTCTAATTTTTTGCCTCATTACTTTGATCGAGTCTATTAGTATATTGGATGTAACTCTAATTTTGTCATTTGCTCTCAAGTTTTGATGGTCTCCTTTTAGTTGAGTTGTTAAGGTATGATTTACTTGAATTAACAACTCTTCATTTATGTTTTTTTTTTATAAATCCATTTCTTTTTTATTAGTGGCATGTTATTCATAGAGGAGAGCTTTGAACCATTTATGTGGGACTGTGAGGTTTCATTTCAGTTTCAAACTATCTATGGATCGTGTGGGAATTCCAATGAGTTTTTATATTATATATTTCTTGACAATCTATTAACCAATATCATTTTAATGAGGCTCAATTATCATTATGAAAATGGGATCATTGATACATTTTTATATTCTTAAATGAGACGGGTATTTCCCTAAATGTTCGACCTATAGCATCTCGATTGAATAATTTTTAATAAACTTAAACGAATTAATAGACTTAAACATTACATAAAAATATAAATATTAAAATATTAACATTCCGGCCAACGAGGAGGGTCCGGATCACCTCAGTAACCATTCCATCAGTAATCATCAGTAACCCCTTCCCCTGGCCCCCACGTGTCAGCTTTTTCTTTTTATTTAAAAAAAACACGGAGGGGCACTAAGGTAAAATTGCACCCCCTATTTAATGATGTGTCTGACGCGCTGACGCTGACCAGATCACATCAGCGCCTTCTCTCTCCTCAAACAACCTTTAATTTTCCTTCTCTTAATCTTTAACGGACGATTTCTCACTCGTTTTAAGTCGGAATTTAATTTTTTTTGCACAGTTAGATCAGATTAATTGTGCTCTTCAAAATGATATCCACTTTGATATTTTTCAGACATAAAAAATTTTGTCAATTATTACCAGTCTATACCATATGGTAATGACTGGTATTGACCATACCATATGGTATGAAAAATTTGTCACATCAATATATATTACGTTATCACCCAATACCATATGGTATAGTGTGGTAATATCAATATATATTTCGTTACCACCCAATACCATATGGTATAGTGTGGTAATATCAACATATGGTAAATCTAACTACCATACAATACCACCATAGTAGAACATGGTTAATCGAATGAACACAAATTAATTGTAATTACCATACAATACCACATGGTATGAGAAGGTAAAACCATACAAAAATAATATAAATCTAATTACAACCCTTTACGACCATAGTAAAACACAATATCCATAAAAATACATTTCGTTACCACACTTTACCATATGGTATAGACACTTTACCATATGGTATAGACACATTACCATATGGTATAGACACATTACCATATGGTATATACAATTTACCATATGGTATAGTGTGGTATATACACATTACCATATGGTATATACACATTACCATATGGTATAGTGTAGTAATCTCGGTATATATATACAATTACGACTCTCTTCACTTTCTTCTCCAACTTCACTGTCTTCTAACTCTTTTTTCTCAGAACCGGAGTCGATTACCACCCACTACCACCATGATAAAACTCGTGACCATAAAGATACATTTAGTTATCACACATTACCATATGATATAGTGTGGTAATATCAATATATATTACCTAAAAGGAAGAAAAACAGAAGGAGGGAGAGTCAAAAAAACTCGTCTTCTGTTCCTCTCATTTCTCCTCCGCAATCAAGAACACCAAATGCAACAAAAAAAGAGGAGGAAGATCGGAATTGAAAATTCACAAACAAATACTAAAATATAAAACATGCAAACTTAACTCACATAGATCCGTCCCCTCTTGGTCAATATGAAACGTCATCTATTTTGAGGCCGAGAAAAGAAAGAACATAAGGAAGAAGCAGCTGCAAAGAAGGATTTGGAGCGTCACCAGATTTTGAGGCATGATGCTGCAATTTTTCTTTGTCAATTGTTGAAGAAAAAAATAAGGGTTAAAGACACATTTGGTCACTGAGATTACAAAATCGGGACATGTTTAGTCACTAGAAAAAGTTAATATCAAATTTGGTCACTACAATTACTAAAACTGGACGCATTTAGTCACTCGCCGTTAGTCTCCGTCCAACTCCGTTAATGAAGTCCGTTAAGTGCTGATGTGGCAAACAGAATTTCCTAATCAGCCGGATATAACCCAACAAAAATAAAACCCGACCCGCCACGTCATTATAACCCGCCACCTCATTAAAACCAACCCAACCCAACTCATGACCCAACCCTACCCAACCCTTCTTCCTCCTTCCTCCCCAACCCAATTTAGGGTTTTTCTCATCCCACCCACTCCTCCCGCCTCCCACCTCCTCCGCCGGAGCACTCGACCTTGCCGGAGCCGCATCGGAAACCCAGCTTCCAGCGAGTCGTACAAAGCGGAGTAGTGGTGCAGGGTATCCATGAACCGACCCATAGACCCACGCCGCATCGGAAACCCAGCCTCCGCCTCCTCGACGATTCCCTCCGCCACAGCTACGCCTTCGCCGACTCCCACGCCGCCTACCTCCACTCCCTCCGCTCCTTCTCCCCCGCCCTCCTCTCCTTCCTCCGCACCCACGCCTCCCAAATCGCGGCCGCTCCTCCCTCCGATTCCCAGTCGGAGAACTGCACCTGCGACGGGGACTGTAAGAGCAACAGTAACAGCAATTCCTCCTCCGAAGCTCCCTCTCCCAATCGCGAATTCTCCAGCTCCAGCTCTGATTCCGACTCCGACTTCGCTGCGTATCCGAAGTACGATTCGTACGGAGACGGCGGAGGAAGAGTAGCAGGAGGAGGAGGAGGAGAGTTTGCGCCGGTGGCAAGGTCGTGGATAACGCCGTCGCCGCCGCAGCCGAGGTCTTCGTCGGCGTGGGACTTTTTGAATTTCTTCGACGCGACTCCGTACGAGAGGTACGATTTCGTCGAGAAGGAGAAGGGAGAGGAAGGAGCGAGCAAAAATCAGGTCAAGGAAGTGAAATCGAGTCGGAATCGCCCGGATCCGACTCGGAAGGAAGCAAAATCGACTGCCGGGAAGAAGAATCGGCCGGAGCCGGAGGGGAAGACCAATGTTGAAGCAGAGAAGAAAAAGAAGGATTGTTGTCCGAAACACGGCAATTCTGTCGACGAGAAGGTCGAATCCGGAGAGGAAAAGAAGGAAAGTGCGGCGAAGTTGATGAAAGAACTGCTAAATTGAGTTGGGGGAAAACCCTAAATTGGGTTGGGGAGGAAGGAGGAAGAAGGGTTGGGTAGGGTTGGGTCATGAGTTGGGTTGGGTTGGTTTTAATGAGGTGGCGGGTTATAATGACGTGGCGGGTCGGGTTTTATTTTTGTTGGGTTATATCCGGCTGATTAGGCAATTCTGTTTGCCACATCAACACTTAACGGACTTCATTAACGGAGTTGGACGGGCGACGAGTGACTAAATGTGTCCAGTTTTAGGAATTGTAGTGACCAAATTTGATATTAACTTTTTCTAGTGACTAAACATGTCCCGATTTTGTAATCTCAGTGACCAAATGTGTCTTTAACCCAAAAAAATAAAGAACAAAAGAAAGGAACATATCTTGATCTGGGAAAAGGAGTTTGGAAGAGAGAAGGAAGAGAGGAAGGGAAAGAGAAAAGAGGGAGGAAGTGAAAAGTCTGGTTTCTCTTTCCTCCGTAAAAGTAATAATATAAATGCTAGAAAAGTAGAAAAAGACAAGAAATAAAATTCAAAAACCGGACAAAAATGCCCCTGACCATCACCGCATCAACCACAGCCACACGATCAGCCCGGCCCAGATCTACGGTCCTAAAGTGGTTACTCACGGGTGAGTAACAAAGGATTACTCACCCTATCCTAAGCCCAACGAGGAGGTTATAAGCTAGTAGAAAATAGGAAACCAAAGTTTCCCAAACCGGTGTGAGAATCGAAACATTGCGCTCTGTTCGGCCTAGGCCTGGAATACCACAACCTAGAGATTTAATGAGTTAAAAGAACCGGCCCACCTTTGAACGCGGTGCTTAGCGAGACTTTAGTCCGGTTCCCAATCTCTGGGCTGCCCTAAGCCCGCCTTTAGATCCGATCATCCGAATCTAAGACACTCAGCCGGAGACTGTCACACCCTGGGAGAAAGAATAATCTTGGCGAGTTGTTTGGTTACAGAGAAAGAGTGAGAAAGGGAAAGAAAGTTGAAGAAGAAGAGGAAGAAGAGGAGGAAGAAGAAACAGAGGAGAATACAGGGAAGGAAAGTAGAAGAGAAGAGATAGGGCAGAAGAAGCAAATTGTGTAAATTGTTATTCGATAACTCTCCATTACAGCAGACCCTTTCTTTTATATGCCTTCCTAATTACAAAATAGTCCCAAACTATATCACCCTTTAATCCCATTCGTTACAGAGACCCTTGGATTCCTCCCGGCAATACTGCCGTCTGTTTCCCCGCTATTCCGAGTTCGGTAGGGAGGGTGAGATTCCGTCTGTTCCTGTGGATTTCAACTCGAAGCATCGCACTGCGGCTGCGCGATTCCATTCCGACGAAAGCAAGCTTAAGTCGAGAATCACGTTCGTACTTAACTAATTACTTACTTCTTGGGAATAATTTTGATCCAGATAGAAGAAAACCCTAAACCTAGAAACCTTCCATCCATGGCATCGCGGAAGAAAGAGGCCGAGGGAATTGCTTTGTTGTCTGTGTACAGCGACGAAGACGACGAGGAAATGGAAGAACCTGACGAACAGGGAGACGGAGAAGCAGAGATGCGACGGCGGCAGCAACAACAACAACAACAGCAATTAGAAGGCAGCGATGATAGGGAATCGAATTACATGGAAGAAGATTCGGCGAACGACGCGATGGTTACTGATGAGTACGGCAATGGAGCTACCCCGCCGGCAGGCGAACATAATGCATCTCCGAAGGAGGTGGCGCTGCAGCAGGTTCAGGTTTCGTTCTCTTCGTCTTCCCGGCAGCAGTTGCAGGAAGGACGAGCGGTTAGTTCGAAGAGAAGTGGGAGGGGGAGGCTTACGATAGTAGACTATGGGCATGATGAAGTTGCAATGTCTCCTGAGCCCGAAGACGGTGAAATTGGTAAGCGTTTTCATCTTTGGTGCCTTTACTCTGATTTTCAGCTTTTCAGTATCATCTTCTGTTACTTTCCGTTGCCTGTGTTTTCGCTTTTATTCTTTGATGCCTGCTGGAATTGGCAGCTCAATGGTTTTAGTGTTGTGTTAGGGTCAATTTTGGTGTCTGTTCGAAAATTCAGAACGCTGAAATGTGGATGCATACAAAATCTCTAGCAGCTCTACTGTCACACAAGTCTTTCCGCAATGGTAATGGTTTAGAAATTTGCAGAGTTGAAATTTGCACGGGCGTTAAGCAGGTGTAAACCTGACACTGGGGTTTGGGAGCAAGATTCATAAGGTCTATCTTTTTAGTGCGTTCTTTTCTTGAGATGTTCCTGGGGGGCAATGTTGGTCAGTTATAATTAGTATTGCTGCAAGACGACTGTCAATTTTTTTTTGCAATAATCTGATGCCATTTGGTAATTTCTATTTTGTGCATTGCAGATGCAGGTAGAGAAGAGATGATTCCAGGGCCAAGTCAGCCATTTGGATCCGAGGCTTCACAGCTAACTGATCACTCGGAAGCACCTCAGTCAGATAATATGAACAATAGCTCCGATGAATTGGAAGCTGTCAAGGTTGAGGACTCTACTGGACTTACTGAGGGCAAGGCGGATCGGTTGGATAAATTTCTACCGCCACCACCTAAAGAGAAGTGCCCATCAGAGTTGCAAGTAAGTCACTCCTTGCTGTCCATTTTGAATCCCTTTTATATAGCTACATACTGTTTTGTGTATCCAGACTTAGTTCCAACCTTGGTTTTTCTGTTATTGAAACAACAATAGGCAAACTTTGATTTTATTTAATCTTTTTGATGCCCGGATATGATTCTTTAGCGGGCAGCCTGATTTACGCATATCATATTCAGCTATATTTTCTTTCTACTGATTTTGTTTTTCTCTGCGGTGCTTTGGTGTTGCTATGCTACTTGCAGAATCGAATAACAAAGTTCATCACTTTGAAGAAAATTGGCAGAAGCTTCAATGCAGAGGTCCGTAATAGAAAGGATTATAGGAACCCTGACTTCTTGCTGGATGCTGTTAGATATCAGGATATTGACCAGATAGGAACTTGCTTCAGTAAAGATGTATTTGACCCCCATGGATATGATAAAAGCGACTTCTATGATGAAATAGGTAATCAGTTGTTCCTCTATCTGTATTTCCAAAGATGCACATTTGCTTTGGGTTATGTTGCTTGTGATATTGCTTGATATGAGGTTTACACGGGAGCACGTTGTAAGCTTTGTTGGTTACGCTGTGCCTTTCCTTGTTATGTATACTGTTGTACTTGAATCCTTCACCTGCACCTGCACCTGCACCTGTACCTGCACCTGCACCATATACAGTTATCTACTACTTGAACCTAAGTTGGTGACTATGTATAACACTGCAGCATTTCATGTATTTGTCAAGCAGAGGTTGATTTGAGGCGAGATAAAGAAAGGAGGGAGCAGGAATTGAAGAAGAGCCCAAAGGTTGAATTTGCACCAGGAGGAACTCAACCAGGAATTGTGGTGCCTCCTTCAAGATTCAGCATGGCTATTCCAGGTATGATGGAGTCTTAAGTAACAAGTTGATTATAGTTGATGTTTCATTTTGTAGTATTTTAGTACTTAATACTTTGGTGGCTATCTCACAGTTGCTGCCAGTGGATTGCCACCAGCACCAGAACCAGTTTCACGAAATGGTAGGCAAAACAAGAAGTCAAAATGGGATAAGGTTTTGTTCTTCTCCGCATCTCTCCGCATCTTTTCTGTTTTCGTCCACCCGCTTATTTGTGTAGGCAGCTATTCTGATCGTTGCTTTTCAGGTGGATGGTGATGGAAGGAATTCTCTCTCAGGTGGTGGGCAAGATTCTTTAGCTACAGCAGCTGCTGCTCATGCCGTGTCTTCTGCTAATGCTGGTTCTGGTCCTTCTGGATATCCAGCTTTTGTGTAAGTATTTCGTGCCATGCTGAACTTTACTTTATCTCCAACTGCTGCAGTTTTAGTCGCTTGAGTGAACACGAGTCCTGTTGGTTGTTAATGTAAAAGCTGTATATGTCCTCCAGACAGGAGGAGCCTTGATTTGACCAACGGTTGACATTCTCTCTTGTATGCAGTCAGCAGAAACGGCGGGAGGCAGAAGAGAGAAGATCCGGGGAGCGGAAGAACGACCGAAGGTCATGATTATTTTCCGGTGAAGTATGTGGTTCAAGTATATGCATATACACAGTGGCTTGAGTTGGTGGGAAATAAGAATTTCACTGAACTGCAAAGCCGGAAAGCATACTTGAAAATGTAACATGTCTCTTGTCAAGGGATGCAACGGATCAGGACTAATATTACTCTACTCATATTCTGGAAAAATTCCCAAAATACACTAGTTCTTAAAAACAATTCTCAAAATACATTAGTTATGAAAATAATTCTCAAAGTACGTATGCTTCAGCATCACATCGGTTGTCCAAGATAGTGAAGATAATCACCGCCTTTGACAATAATGGCGAAGCTATCACCGCTTTAAAGAAAAGGGTGAAACAATCACCGCCGTAGAAGAAAATGGTGAATGCGTCACTGTCTTTGTCCAAAACAGTGATGCCAATCACCGGTGTGGTCAATAACGGTGAACATATCATCGTTGTTGTCCAAACCGGTGATTGTTTATCACGTTTTCCAACCCTGGTAGGTGGAAATTAAGTCACAACGACCTACCTTTCGCCGTTGTAGGCGACGACGATGATATGTTCACCGCTGCTGTCCATTGCGATGATTAGTGGTTGATTTTCCATATAAAAGGCCCTCCCCCACATACATTGTCTCAATATTCTGTCCCATTCCACCAATTTTTTTTGCAAAAATCCCTTCTTAGCCTGCTTTCAGCAATTACGGTTATAGAAACACAAAATTTTTGGTATGTTACAATTCTGTATTGTTTAGATTTTAATGATTATATGTCTGTATTTAATGAATTGCGGTTAGTCGCAAATATGTTGTGTTAGAGATATTTAAATTAATTATGGTATATTGAAGTTATTTAGATAAATTTGTTTAGTATACTCATATGCTTAATTATGGTCCATGTTTCGATTAGTTAGTTGCGATTGTTTGTGGATTTGGATGATATTATTTTTGTAGCCCTAAAAATATGGTTTTGGATAATGTTTGTGTAGCTCCAAAACTAATTAAACTTATTATAAATTGCAGACATGGGTAAATTTAAGAAGTTTCAGCTTATTATTCGGTGGAATGGTTGGGTGACAAACTCTGACTTTGGGATCGATTATGAAAATGGTGAATTCACTATGTTGAAAATTGAGTCGAGATTCACTTGGCAAGAACTTCGTTACATTTATGCAAACAAGATTTGTATGGGCGGAAAGACGAGAGTTGGAAAAATTACTTACTGGTGTCCAAACATGAGTGCTGGCTAGTTATGTACAAAGAAGTTGTCATAAATGATGATGACGCGATTACCATGATGATACAGTTTCTATATGACAATAGGATGCGGCTTGCAGAGGTGTATGTCGAGACCGAGGCGGTGGGTGAAACTCATTCTCACCAGTTTCTTATGATGATGGTTTTGCAGGAAGGTACAAATGGGGTGGTAGTTCAAGCAACTACGTAGGAGGTAGTTCTGCAGGAGGTGTGGCATGGGAAGAATACCCACAACATGCTCAGTCTGCCCCATTTGTTGAGGCTGACGACGTTTAATGGCCTGTTTGGGGCCCCGAGTGGGCTGACATTGAGAACACCCTTCGAACTGGGCGTACTTCACTTGAGCGAGAAGACGATGTTCGTGAGGAGGAAAATACTGACGATATCGATGAAAATACTGACGATATCGATGAAGACGAGGTGGCATTCCGTGAGGCACCAATGCCATACTACACAGAGGTTCCATCTCAATTTTTATATAGTCAGAATGATGCCCCTGACTTTCTCCCTATGCCAATGTATAATCTGACTGCCAATTTGGAGGTGGGTATGTGATAGAACCCGAGTACGAGTTCTACCGGTTGATTAGAGATTAGGATCAACTAGTGATTGATCCGGCTAATTGGGAATTGGGAAGAAGAGGTGGAATTGGGATTTGGGATTTGATCAGAAGAGAAGAGGAGGGGAAGAAGAGGCTGTCGGCAGCCTAGGGGAAAAGAGGGGAGGAAGAGAGTGAACGACAGAGAGAGTGGGAGAGGGATTAGAAGATTAGGTTTAGGTTTAATTCTTGCTTAGTGGACTAATCCCACTTACAAGTCATTTATATAATAATTGGATAATTCCCTACTGCTACCCGACATATAATTTATTCCACAATCCCCGAAATGGTCCCAATAATCCGAAATAATAACAATCCGATAAGTAATTAAAATGCTAAATACTAGTTTCTATCGTCCCCTCTTCCTTCGGAAAACAACCTTGTCCTCAAGGTTGGTCCTCTACTCACTAGGTCTCCTTCTCGCCATTCCCGTCGTCCTCTGCCTCGTCCTCTGCTTCATCCTCCCATCGCCCAACTAGCATCATCAAATCCGGCTTAGGACACTGGTGCCCGATGGTGAATCGACCATCACAATTGAAGCACTTGCCCTCCCGCCTCTTCTGCTCAATCTCTGCCGGAGAGAGCCGATAGAACCCTTTTGGTATGGGCCGAGGCCCTCCTCTGGTCACTGGTGCAGGGTTCCCGCTCCCGGCGCTCGCCCCTACCACATTTCCAGCCGCTGCTCCTCCTCCACTGCCTCCGCTCCCACTACTGCTACCCCCTCCACTTGGCCTAGTGTAACGACCAAGGGTACTCCTCCAGCTAGCAAGTTATTCTTCTTTGTGACCTGCAAGACGAAAAGCAGCCTTCAAAGAACCCGACTCAAATACCCTGAGTGTCGCCGCTATCTCGGGTTTTAGGCCTTCCATGCATAGCCCCACTAGGGTGTCCTCCGGAACTCCCTTGCACTGGTTCCCCAACTTGAAGAACTCTGCGCGGTAGTTAGCCACCGAACTAGTCTGCTTCAGCTTCGCGAGCTGCTCTGGAGCCCACCCTTCCGATTTCCCGAACTGGTAACGGAGCTCCTCCTGGAACATGGTCCAGGTGATCAATGTCGCGGCGACCGCGTACGATCGCTCCATCCACTCCCACCACTGAAGCGCATCACCTTCTAAATAGAAGGATGCCAGGTAGGCCTTCCGTTCCTCAGGAATTGCGTGGTTCTGAAACCACCTCTCAGCTGCATATAACCAGAGACCTGCATCCTCTTGCCCATTGAATTTTGGGAACTCAATGGTAGGAGGCTTAGCTCGAAAGACTATCCCATCAGTACCCTTATAACTAGGATAGCAAGATCCATACCTGTCATTCCCTGGGGCCCTCCATGGCTGCCCCTGTGAGAATCCATGCCCCCAGCTCGGGTTTCCTGAGCCAAAGTACCCTTGATAGCCTCCTAGCTGGTCCGGATCTCCTCCAGGAACGTCGTGCGGCCCATACGGGGCTCTCCAATAGGCCGATCCTCTGCTGTCCGCGGCCCTAGGCGGCTGGTTGGTTGGGTTAGGTCGATGTCCGGTCTGACCCACCTCGGGTCGACCACTGCTGGCCCAACTAGGCCCGGTCCTTCCTCATTTGGGCTGACCACTGCTGGCCCAACCAGTCATGGTCCACTCAGTCCCGGGTCGCCCAACCGGTTCAGCTACTCGGCTTGGTCAGTCACCCCTCTGGTTCACCCCGGGATCGGCCCACTGCGCCGATCGGCCCATCAGGCTGAACTCGCCCTCCTCGGGCTCGTCCCCCAGGTCCACCCATCCCGGCCCATTGTTGCTTCTTGCAATCTGATCCATCATCGTGGGCCCAACAGTCTCCGGTGGGCCTTCCGTGTCATAGCCGGGCATCTTGCCCTTCCCTTTCCGGGCCGCCAGCTCTTGGGCCGACGGTGTAGGGCACAGGCCAGGCCCGCTACCCTGACCTAGCGTGCCGTCACCCGCACGCTTCCGAGTCGCCGCCGGGCCTCCCGCGCCACTCACCACCAGCGCCACCTCCAACACCGCCTCCGACGCGGCTGCCGCCGCTGCCCCGCCCATCGTCGCCGCCGCCGCCCGCGCCCATCGCCGCCTCCCCGGCGCTGCTGCCTGCCCCAATCGCGCCGGCATCGCCGTTCACCGCGGCCTCCACGCGAGCCGCTGGCCCGCCATCCTCAACTGTCGCCGGCGGCCGCCGCCCCCTACATCTCCACCATCAAGATATGGAGCGCATCAAGTCGGCTCCACACCCGCCGGGATTCCTCCAACCGCTCCTGGCTCGTTCCACCAGATCCACGAGGACGTCAAGGCGGTGTTGCGTCGCCTCTTGATCATTCAGGTCCTCCAACTCGCCATCCACCGGCACGCGCGGAGCAGGGTGAGGAGGCCGCCCTTGCGGAGTGGTGGCGGAGGGTTGACCCCCGGTCGGCGCCTTTGGGTTGATCGCCGGCAGCCCACCCGCCGCCGCAGCTGGCCCCTGCGCAGTCTTCGCCGCCTTCTCTGCCGCTACTTGGGACTTGGTGGAGACCATGATGCCAATCGAAGGAAGGATTGGCTCTGATACCAATTGATAGAACCCGAGTACGAGTTCTACCGGTTGATTAGGGATTAGGATCAACTAGGGATTGATCCGGCTAATTTGGAATTGGGAAGAAGAGGTGGAATTGGGAATTGGGATTTGATCAGAAGAGAAGAGGAGGGGAAGAAGAGGCTGTCGGCAACCTAGGGGAAAAGAGGGGAGGAAGAGAGTGAACGGTAGAGAGAGTGGGAGAGGGATTAGAAGATTAGGTTTAGGTTTAATTCTTGCTTAGTGTACTAATCCCACTTACAAGTCATTTATATAATAATTGGATAATTCCCTACTGCTACCCGACATATAATTTATTCCCCAATCCCCGAAATGGTCCCAATAATCCAAAATAATAACAATCCGATAAGTAATTAAAATGCTAAATACTAGTTTCTATCAGTATGCCGTTCACTTCGAAAGACGATGTTCAAGATGCTTTTAGCAAATAAGCCATGCGACGCAATTTTGAGTGGAAGGTAAAATATTCTGACACAAAAAAACTACATGTCATGTGCAAGAATGCTGGAGAGGGTTGTATGTGGCAACTGCGGGCTGCAAATATGAAGAGAAAGGGTGCCTGGGTCATTGGAAAAGTAGAGAACAACCACAACTGCTCCTCATCCATACTTTTCCAGGATCACCACCAACTTAAAGCAAAGAAAGTGGCAAGAACCATTAAGCACTTGATCGAGGCGCAACCGGATATCAAGATCAAAGCTATCATGGTTGAGGTGAAGGATCAATATTCCTACACGATCATGTATAAGAAGGCATGACATGGGAAGCAGAAGGCCATGACTGAGGTCTATGGTGATTGAGACGACTCGTATGCTTTACTCCCTAGACTAATGGCAGCAATGGAGGAGTTGAACCC